AGGCCGATTTCAGAATTTAGCCTTTGTTTGTCGAGAAAGAATTTTACTTATCAATTGTCTACTCCGTCAAAAATATTGCTTGTTGGCCAGCATGATTCTGAGTTCAAGTCATTGTCATTCGCATTCACGTCCTGAGGAAAGCAGAATTAAGACTAAAGATATAAATATCATCAGCATACAGATGCATTTTTACGCTGTTAAGGAAGACTATATTTTGTATTCTAATTTTGGAAAATCTTACTTTTTCCTTCAGAGTAAGGCTGAAGAAATTATCCTAAAGAGGGTCACCTCTGACCTCTGAAATCTCATATGCTGTGCAATGGCTGGGAGAGATTATTCCCTATTCTGGCTCATAATTCGGTATTACTTAGCGTCAAGTCGAATAAATTTTGTGATATCGAACTGATACCGACGGAAATCCTTGTGAGATATTCAAGGAGCTTCTTTATGATCAAAAAGGACGTAGCTGGCTAGACCATTACGATAAATGGCGTGTGCTACAGAGCAATTCTGGGTGACTTTTTATTTGCCGCGATTCAGTCACATTACTCCGCACGATGATCGACCGACGCATCATATCGAAAAACAGCGATTTCGACTAGCCGCTGCGCTCACCCGTCGAACTTCCTTTCGTGAAGAACAATGTTATATTCATAACACGATAGCAATAGAAAGCAAAAAATGAAGTTAAAAGCAATAAAAAAGCTGTTTTAATCAGAAGTTATTGAAGTTTCAAATGATATCCCGACAGATGGCGCACATTGTATAGGAATGGTTGACAATACTAGGCACTTTCCTAAGCTGGTGGATTGGCTAGGTTCGATAAGCTGGATAGGTTGTGCGATATTGAGGAGACTTATCCCACGCTAATTGACGCAGACTGTATAATAAACCTTTTCTTTTGGAGTGAGCAGAGCACACTTCGGCTCTAATCGTCGAATATGCCTTATCCGACCACGTTTTTCTCATGACCTTAGCAGCTCAACGCCATCAGATTTGAATAGCTCAGCCAATAAGGCATCGGCTTCTGTCAAATTGATAACTTTTAAGCGGCCAAACGCTATTCAAACTACATCATACTCAGAAGGTTTAACTTCTGTGCAATCGTACTCGAATGTGGTTTCGGATTCGTCCATACTCATTTGGAATTTGTCAACTTTTGAAATTTTTCAATTTTCAATATAAAATAATTTGGATGAGCAATGTGGTGGAATAAAATGCTTACCTGATAATCTCACCTGTATACAAATATCCTTTTAGAATAACACAAAACGCAACCACCGTATTTGAGCAGTAATTTTTTTTCAATTTTATTTTCACAAATTTTCCAAAATGCACAACTTAATTTAGCGTATTTAATACTAGACTAATTTAAAAAGATTTTATTTAATACTTAGGTGAATACATATGTACATATGTACAAAATTACTCTACCTTAAGGCAATAGCAAAAATAACCAGATATTCTCAAAAACTTGATAGTTATAAAATCTGTAATATAATGTATTTATCATAGATAATCATTAACCATTAAGTAAATGCCCTTAACATGAAATAAGTGTGTATAACACATATATATATAAACATATATATAAATACTTGTATATTTACACAAATTCATTCAGATTTACAACAATAACAATATTATTTGAATATATAATTTTAATTTTTTTTTTAATTTTTTTATGAAATTCGTCATAGAAACAATGCTTAATTTATCTGTGGATTCATCTTAATTGTTTGACAATACTGCATTTTCAGTTCAAAAACTTTGTTAAAAAGCCTTTCTTCAAGACTACATAACTACTTTTGTACAAAGAGGATTTGATTGTGCTATATAATTTTCACATATCTATAATAATATATTTAGGTAAGTAATTATATATGTATATACAGACATTATTTGAATATAATTAAAAAATTAACATTAACTAATTTTAATAATTACCGTTGTATATTTAAATGAAAAGAAATTACCAAAGACTACTAATTTGAGATTTTTTTATTCCAATAAAATTTAAATTAAATTTTGAATGTATTAGGTCCACCAAAACAGAACAGGGGTTTCAATGCTTGGCAAATTGAAGTCAAACAGTAAATTTATTTCTGACACAGGGTCGATTTTATCTTTTCGTAAACTATGTGTGTATTAGAGCTCTAGAGACCGGTTATCGAGCCATACAAACAGCTCGACACCCACACCCACACCTCTAAGTTTCCATGAGTTTTACACTTTTCATAAATAGATTTAAAATAGTGGAATCTTGTTCTGAAAAAAAATCTAATTTCTGATCAAAATGGTATAAAATTGTTCAAGCAATGAACAAGTATGTGTGAAAATCTATAAGTAGAAAAATGTCATTGCTTAACTTGCATTAAATACTTATGAGGTTCTTGAATTTTTAGGCCTTTAGTAAATCTCTTCTAAGTCTTAAACAATTATCTGCTAGTGCAGATAAGGATTTTCTATTGAGGAAATGCTTTGTTGGAACCTTTCGCCTTGTGCGTTACGTAAAGCAAACAAGTTAGAGAGAAACTATTCCAATTGAAAGTCTAACCTATGTATCTTCAATGATATATTACACCAAGTTCATCAACTAATTCCTTATTACTGTTGATACAAGCCAATTTCCGTGTCTGCACTGCAGCGGTCGGAGAGAATCAAGATCGCCGCCCCAACGTTCTTATAATTTTCTGATTTATGGTTTCGAAGAAAGTTCAAGGACAACGTGACCGACTTGTTTTTCCCAGTTCATGTAAATTTTTGAAGTTAGGCCAACAGATGGATGGATGTATAAAATCCTATTTTTCAGTCTCATAAATTTTTTTAAACCTTTGACTATAAAAAAGAGAACTCAACAAATTTTCCCTGGAAAATATTATTATAATATATAATATTAATATATTTAGATACTCTAGGGATGACGTATTTAGCTTACTTAGAAAAGGAGTCAGAAATGGCATGTACGAGGGCGGTTGAAAAGTTCGTGACCTAAGGATGTTACAGATGACACATCTTCTTATTACTGATGATACTAATAGCGGGACTCATCATTAGTATAAATAACAAACTTTTTTCATTCGATTCAAGCAAAAATACTACTCCAACGGAAACTGGAAGTTCACGCAATCACGATGTGATTAAATTCCATAAAAAAGGAAGTACGCCGAAGGAAATTTTTAAACAGATGTCATCGGTTGCCCAGGACTCTGCCCCTTCATATACGAAATCCATGGAGACCTGTGAAGATGCCCCCCGCCCGGTGCGCCCAGGGATGGTCGTGACCGAAGAAAATGTTCGGTAAGTCGAAAAATTATTGCTGGCTGAACGAAGAATCAAATTATGGCAGATATCAGATGGATAACAAGCAGAGAACGAGCTAGAGAGAGTTAACATAATCATTTGAATATGAGAAAAATTAGTGCGCCTTGGGTACCACGAATACTCACGCCACTTGAAAGAGACTGTACGATCATAAGGAGTTACGGGGACGAAGATTTTCAGACGACAATGCGACGAAAGCGGTCGTAGAAAACAATTTTGAAGAGAAATCTAAAGATTCGCGATGCGAAAACTTTATGCCGCATGAGGGAGACTATATTGAAAAATAAATATCAGGTGTACAACTTTGCTTCCGCCGTTTTTTCCAAAATTAAAAGCTTTAATGCGAAAAAGTGCTTACAGATATATTATTTAAAGTCCTTCGCTAGCGACAACTTTCTCCCATCTTTCCGCCAATATCCAGATCCCAGATCGAAAAAAGGAGTCCTCTTTTGACGCTATCCATGAAGCAATCCATTTTTCCAATTCTTCGAAGGATTGAAAATGTTGATCCACCAGCCCGTGGGCCATCGAACAGAATAGGTGGTAGTCAGAAGGGGCGACATCTGGGAATACGGCGGGTGGGGCAAGACTTCCCACTTCAGCGTTTCCAGGTACTTTTTGACCACTTTTGCGACGTCAGGCCGAGCATTGTCATGTTGGAGGATGATTTTGTTATGTCGCTCTTGATATTGTGGCCGCTTTTCTTTTAGCGCGTGACTAAGGCGCATCAGTTGCATTCGGTAGAGATCTCCTGTGATGGTTTCAACCGGTTTTAAGAGTTCGTAGTAAATCACACCGAGCTGATCCCACCAAATACAAATCATAACCTTGGCGCCGTGAATATTCGTTGAAACCACTCCCGACATGTTCTTTCACTCAGAGCAGCATCACCGTAAGTTTCTGAGAGTATTCGATGCGCTTCAGCTGCATTTTTTTTTCGAATTGTAACAGAAATGTAAAACTTCCCGCAAATGGCGATAATTAGGCACATAAACAGACATTTTCGAGAGTGAATAATACGAAAACAAGAACAACTGTAACTGAAACGGCGATGACAATTCGTTAGGCACTGTCCACACTCACTTTAAAGGCATTATCATCTATGTATTTCAACCAGCCTCAGCCGGTACAGCCACCTATCGGAAAACGGCGGAAACAAAGTTGTACACCTGATAACATAAAACTTTAGCTTTGTTTCATTAAGTACTTTAGGTGGCGATCTTGTCAACCACCCTTCGCAGAAGGACCAAAACATATATTATATATGTGCGTATGTATATCATTTATGCATTTATCCCACATATATGTTCTGCTTGAAAACAGGTGAAGTTTTTTTTTTTGCCGCCTAATAAATATTTAAATATATTTTAGCAAAGAAAAATTATCTTCCGCCCAAATGTAATAAATATGATATATCGTCTCACATTAGTACTCGTCTAAACACATGTAAAAAGAAAAATTTAAATATATTTGCCGGAGACAAAATATGTTAACATATAAAAACACGCACCAAACACTTCCTTTACTGAAAATTTTCGAAAAAGAAAGTTTTGACTCGCAGTCATGCGATTCTGATTAGCATAAATTTATAATTAATATGTACAAACATATATACATACTTAAGGAATATATCTATATATACAATATTAACATACAGTTCTTTACATATGTGCATTTGTACTTGAAATCTTACACTAATACTTACAAACTTGATTCACATAACATATCACTCAAATTTGCTTTTTTTTTGCGTGTTTCATTTACATTTCAACTTTGTATATCTTCCCTTCATTTCGTTTTCTCAGTAATTTGCGCCATCGAGTATTTCTTCATTCATTCATGACAAACTCCTATGTAACGCATACTTGTATGTTTTGGTATACACTTTGGTGAGAGAGTTTCTCTTATGTTGACGCAAAACACGAACGCACCCACGTACATACGCGCTGTAGACTTATTAAATAACATCCGTATTCAGCATATACTGAGCCTGCGGTGATTTTAGAGGGTTTTGTTATATGCATGAAATGAGAGAAAAAGAAAGCAAGAAAAGCAAAATAGCGAATGAAACATATGCAGAAGTGAAATAATCCTTTTTAAATGCATACTATAGTTTCTAGATAGGAAACGTTTGTAAGTTGCAAAGTTATCATAACCGAACTTTCGCAAATAAATTATTATAAATCATTCAAAAGTAGCAAAGTATTTTACGGAACAACAAATGGTGCCTAAAGTTTAAACTACAAATGTATTGGTGCATATATTTATAATAATATTTTTTGTTATGTGATGTGCATATGTATGTGTGTATATAAAGCAAGTTTATAAATGATAACCAAAAGACAAGGATATTTTAGGTCTAATGTATGTTTAGTCAAAAAGTTTATCCCAAAATTCTACAAAAATATATATTTTACTATAAACTTGAGCGCTAATGGTGGCAGCTGATATAAAATAATATGATGAGAATTTTCTATAAAATTATTCTCTCAGCGACTAATTTTTAATGCCACAGAGAAACCATTGTACTTTGATTATGCGAATTTTCATTATTTTATTCAAATAGACATTTGTACTATAAAGATTTTGTTTTCAAATAGACATTTGTACTATAAAGTCTGCCGAGTCGTATGAGTGACTTTTTTTGCTTTGCACAAAAGTTTAATGGACTTTGCCCGCCACTTCGTGAGCATGAAATTTAGATATATATAATATGGATTTTAATTAGTATTATTATTTATTAAAACATATCAATAAAATGTTTCAATAAATATTTTTTATTTTTATCAAAATATCAAACAGCGGTTCCTGGTTCACTTCCCTAAAATAAATGTTTCATAAAAATCAAACAAAAAATGTGATTTCTTCAACTTAATCGGTTCCAATTCTACTTTTGGCGAATGAAAAGTTCTGCGTATATTGACTTAAGCAATGAACTATATACAGTTTTCCTTCACTTCCAATAGGAAATTTCTCTACATTTTAAACTAGGCAAAGAGCCACCTAGGCACCGGGTCCACTTGCGGGAAGTAAAAGTGTTCCTAATGGAATAAAAAGCTACCTTTGAACTAAATTTCATGTGAATCGAAGAATTAAAAATAAAGCATATTTTTCAAAAAGATCTATCGCAGGTCTACTTCACGGACAAAAGACACCCTACAAATTTCCAAGTTTCCTTCAGTCATTCGGGGAAACGCCGTTCATGTATTAAACAGGACTATCAATTTTGCGGTTTCGAAAACAAATGTAAATAAAACCTTTGGATTATATATTAAACACTACTTCATTCAAATGACCGCACCGCAAAATTTTGCAAACTTAAAAACCTCTGAAGTAACTTTCGACATCTTTTTTCGAACCTATTGGAGGGTATCTCAGCCACAACTTAAATGGATGGTATCAGCTCTTGAGAACGTCGAAAAATCGACACGTTCAGGTCTTCGGCTACACTTTCATTTACAGTGGCGATATTTGTGATGGAACGAGCAAAACGAAAATGCACTTGCCTCCAAATATGTGTAGGAGGGATCGGTTCTCTAAAATAAATTTTGACATTTTTACCAATTGGTTGAGTTGCTGGACGATTATATGCACCATATTCTCCTCTGAAATCATAAATTGTGGACCTGCTTAAATCACGATTTTTGAGATTTAAGAATTTTAACGCATTGTGTAGTTGTTAAGTAACGCATTTGCATGATTGCCAAACTTTAAACCAAAACATAGAGGTTTGACTTGATATTTAAGTTTGACAGATGGCGAAAAACATGATGAAATGAACAGCTCTATAATTTAAATGCGAGCCTCTTTGGTTTTCTGCCATTCAAAGTTTAAAGTTTTGAGGAAATGCTCATTGGAAATTTAGAAACATCTGCAACAACAAACACCACAGGCAACACACTCTTCTAAATAATTTAATAAATTATTATTCGTATAACGAAATTTAAACTTTGTTTACTCTATCTCAACCACAACAGAGCTCTAAATCTAACTCCTAACAGCTGAATAAGACAAAAAAGAGAGCGAGTAGTTGAATCGAAATTTCTAAAACAGGAGCAAGGCAAATTTACACACTTTATTAGCAAAAATACAAAGCTAAGTTAGCGATGATAATAAATAGAAAAGGAAATATGGTATCATAGAGTGCATTCATTTATCAGCTTTATCTAAAATTTTCAAAACTTTTCGTTTAATTTTTTCTAAGAAAAAAAAAAATTTAATAAAACGTTGCATTTTTTCTTCAATTATTTTTTTGCAAAAATATGTATTATGTGATTTTACATCAATTACCAAAGTACAATATTTTCCCCTAGTCAATTTCAATTTTCCTTCCAGCATGAAAGTTGTTGAAAGGTTATCAATAACTCAGTGAACGAATTTATTTCTGAAATGATGACGAACAATTATAAAACAGAGGCGTGTATGAGAGATGCAAATTTCAAATAAAAAAATTGAAAACTTATTAAAAATGTAAATACATTCGCAATCATCAAAAAGCTGTAATAATGAAATATTTTTCAATTATATTAATATTTTGTAAAGGTAATTTTGCAACTTAATGCACGTATGTTGTTCAGGAAATGTAAAATTGAAATACAAAAATGAAAATAAATTTGATAAATTTAACGTGTCACTTAATAATTATGAAGAGTTTAAATGAAATAAAAATCTGTAAATACGAAATCATATACTAACTAATAACAACTAAATTCTTTATATATTACATTATATTTACATATAGTTCTATAAATATTTCAATCAACACATGCTTGCTTGCCTATTATTATTATTATTGTAATTATTGTGTTGGCTTATGTGCCGTTGTTGTCGTTGTAGTTTCAATTTTTGTATTTGTTGTCAATTTACCGCTGTCAATGTGGTGACTTCAGTTGAAATCGGATTCTCCGTCAATGCTATCGACTCGGTAATGACACTCCGCAAGCCAACGCCATTATTATTCGGCAACAACTTCAAATCACCTTTGGATATTTCGGCATGCTTTCGTCTTCGACGCGTCTGTCCACTGCCTGTCGTGTGACCATTAAGAGCAACATTAGTGTTTTCTTTAGAACGACATAATAATTCTGTAAATTCTTTACGGAAATTATCATTCAGCCATCCATAGAGCAGCGGATTTGTACAAGCGGAACTCATGCCGAGCATATGACAGAAGGCGTACACGACCAGCATACGCTCCGTCACCGCGACTGGACTACGCATATCCGCATATAAATTGTAAACATTCAACGGCATCCATGATATGCCGAAAATCATTGCGATTGTTATTAGCAAGCAATTTGTACGTTGCATACGTCGGCCACGTTCGGCCTTACGTTGTGGTGTTTGCATTGCCACGACCGCAGTGCGACTGCGTAATTTTCGATAAATACCAAAATACGCTCCAGATACTATCACTATTGGCACCAAATATTGCACACATGCGGAAAATATCGAATAGTAAAATCGTCCATTGCTAACGGGCCAATCCTCGACACAGAAGCAAACTTCATGTATGCCCAACTCTTGCAGTAATGGCGGAATTTCCGCTTGTTCTAGACGCTTGTAAATGAAGAGTGGACTCGCCAGCAGCACGGCAAATATCCAGATGCCTGCGAGTATACCTATTACACCACCGAATTGAAGGCTTTCCCTCGTCGGATACACGATAAGCTGGAAGAAAGAGAAACAGATATGGGAAAGAGTTTTAGAGGCGGGGATTTTAAATATTTTTTTAGGCCTTAAAAAATTAGTTTAACAAAAAATAATTACAACATGAGCAAAACAATTATCTTTCAGATTTAAACTAGCTTAAAAATCGATATTGACAAAAATATTAACAAGTTGAAATTCCTTCTCTCATTAAAATACTTAACAGAATGACAATAGGCTGGTTTGGTTCTCTCAGAGAGCTGATGCCCAACCACCACTCCAACCTTATTTAACTTAATAGAATGTGCGACATTTTCGGGCAGATTTGCGTCTGTTTGAAAGATGTTGGCTGATTTTGATAGATACAAATTAGAGAAAGAGAGACAGAGAGAGAAAGGGAGACAGAGAGAGAAAGAGAGAGAGAGAGAGGGAAAGAGGGACAGAGAGAGAAAGAGAGACAGTGAGATAAAAACAAAGAGAGATAGAGAAAGAGAAAGAGACAGATAGAGATAGAGATAGATAGAGTGAGAGAGAGAGAAAGATGAAGCTGTTGAGATCTTCGAGCTAAACTTCACAAGGTAGGGCATTTTTGACCAGTCCTTCTTTTTCAGCCACTCAGACGATATAACCTAATCAACATGGCTGCAGTATATTCTTCGCTGAACTATATCAATACATATATACTATTCTGACAGCTCATTGTTCAACGGTACTCACCGTTGTCAATACGTAGGGAACCATAAATTGTTCGAAAAACTTTTGTCTTGAAGTCTCCCTGGGCAGACTAATCCGCTGTCGATAACGTCCATGCTTTTGCACTATAAAGCTGAACGGTTATGATGAGAGACTTGTAGAGTTTTGTGTTTGTTCGTCGAGAGTTGAGTTTACTTTTCAATTGCCTACTCAGTCAAAAGTGGCAATTCCCAATTCTCATTTCGGCCTCATTTATTTTTTTGTCTGCAAATGCGTTTTGCTTTCAGCTCTCAAGAACAATCTTTTTCTGCCACAACCGTCATTGCATTAGCCACGGCCACGGAGAAGTTGATCAGCGCCAGGCCATATGGGAACGTTTTGTTATAGAGGCCGAATTTCCCAACTGTTGTGCCTCATTTGGCCATCCGGGCTTTTAACTCGCTAAGCACAATTTTCGCATGGTAGCTGAGGTCGCGCTCATGGGAGCGTTCTGTGCTCTTAAAAAGTGTCTTTAGACCCATCTTTTTGCTCTTCTGTCGGGTTGTGTGTGCAAATCAGCGAGGAAATCTTTCTCGCACTAATTTGCGCTCCTGTATGAAACCACTGTGGTATATTTCACAAGTACCCATCTTCTTCCGTCTTTGTCCGGTCAATCGTCCTTCGTGGACTGCGGTGTTGTCAGTCTTTAGATTTACGAAAACATGAACCGACAGGGCTGCGGCACCTATACAATTAATAGTACTGACATGTCAGGTGCATGCCTTTAATTGGTGGTCCATCCTTAAAATGTTAGCAAGGGTCGACATCAAAAAGGAGGTCACTCATCCCGGATTTGGTGTGAGTTTTCATTGGAGTATGTTTTCAAGCGGAGGGAATTGGATTTCTGGTCACTTGCGTGAGCTTCTACACATGGCGTAGTTCTTAAGCAACGGATCAAAGGCAGTATGGTGTTGGATTGACTGCACAATAGTCTGAGCTCGCCTAACTTTTTATAATAAGTTTAAGCTTCAGTTAAAGTTTTTAAATTTGAACTTTACAAATAAAATCCAAATTTCATCTTTAAACTCTAAATTAGCCGGCTTTGGAAAAGTAGCAGCTCAAAACTTAACATTTGCTAATAAAATTTAATCGGAAGAGAAAACATGGTTGATTGTTGTAATTCATCTAAATAATTTTTGTACTTGAAAATGTTCCAGATTTCGAATATAAGAAAAGTCAAGAAAAAAAGAGATTTAAACAAACGAAAAAAGCATTTATGGGAAAATCTGAGAAGCCAACATTCTATGCCAAAACATCCCTAACGTTTATGTATTTTTCTTCTTACTACTTAACGCGAGCTCAGTAAGTGTCTTATTTGAAATCCAATATGCGCTAGAGTTTTATAAATTACTACACAATTGTGTTTATATATAAATACTTTGGCGGCGTTTGAGTGCATGCAAACGAAGAATGTGAATTCTCTTGGTTTGTGCCACACGAAAATCACTGTATGCAAACAGCGAATAGCAATTTATTGCGGTCGAGATGCTGTGTAACTACGCTACCAGTCACGTATGCACGCCAAAGTCAGCTCAAGAATATTTGCGGATTCAAATATTTGAAAATAAATGACAGCAAATATGGTTGATGCACACATACACATGCTATTCTGTGCTGCTCAAGGACATATATCAATTGAACTTTAAGAGATACTCCCAAGGGAAACGGTAATTCGAAGCAAAACCAGAAAAAATCATTTCATAAATGGAATAATCGCAAATATACACATAAAATATATAAAATAAACAGCCTATTTTACAAGTTTTAGCAAAAAAAAAAAAAAGAAATATATCAAAATACTCCACCTCAATGATCCAGTCATTGAAAATAACAGAGATAACGGTAGTTTAGTAAAAATGTTAATTTTTTTTTGTTTATTTGCCTGGCTTAGACTTATTTCTTTTAGTTCTGTATGCGATTTAGGGAGTGTGAATATAGAGAGTTTTTGTAAAATGGCTCTTAAAACTTAAGGGTGATTTTTTTCTATAGGAATTTTTTTTTTTCAAAACAAACACATAAAATTCAGAAAAATGCAAGAAATCTCTACTTGATTCGATAGTACGATCCACATAATTTAATGTTGGAAGATTATTTCATTCAAATATTGACCGTAGCTGCGCCTCAAATGGTCCATCCGCTTAGTCCAATTTTAGCATATTCTTTCCAACATTTCGGCCCGTATCTCCCGAATAAATGCTTCAATGCTGTTCTCTAACACGTAAATTGAAGCGGGCTTGTCGTATAGACATAAAATTTAATAGTCTAAAGGCGTTAAATCACACAATTTGGAAGGTCACCCTTTACAAATGAAATCCGAAATTCAATAATACAACATTACAGAAGCGGTAAAGTCTAAGAATAATAGTAGATATAGTAAAAAAAAACACGACGCACTATTTAAAATGTAGTAAAATTTTAAAATGAAGAAAGTCTAATCATATACAAACCAAAACATAATGGTAAGAAAGTGTTTAATGGGCGTGAAGAGCGTTAAATTCTCCAAAAAGTAAAATTGAATAACATTTAGGCTCTCAAAAAATATTTGAAATACGTTGGCAGCATAGTTTAAGCCAAAATTCAGAGACACAACCATTCGAAGGTGTCTTTACAAGGCTGGTTTTCGTGGAAGAATCTCCCAGAAAAACCTTTTGTCAGTGAGAAAAAGAAGTAAAATAGTTTGGAATACGCTCAAAACTACCCCATAGAAAATATTGATTTCTGGAAAAAATGAAATTTCTCTGGATGGATCAGTCCGGACAGCAAATGAAGCACTGGAACCGAAATATCTTCAACGTACAGTAAAGCATGGAGGTGATCTGATTTAAATACGTTAAGAACTTATGGCATAAAATGGAACTTCAAATTGGGAAATGCGCCATATCAAATGTGAATGACCTTTAGACTGTCATAATGAAGGGTGAGGGAAGAATTTCTTCTGGCTATAAAAAAAACTGTTGGAATTTATTCCATATATAATCAAGTCTCAGAGGTTTTCCCACAAAGTACTAGACTCTAAGAGTATTACGAGTATGTATTTCATAAAATTTAGATATGTGAGTCATTTCATGTGGTTCATATAATTTGATGTGGAGATAAGTTAAGAAATATAAAGAATAGAAAAAGCAAAAGCAAAGTTTTGTTTTTATAAAATGTTTCGTTAAATTTTACATTGGCGGGACATTTTCAGTTGCACTCAATCTACATATGTATACATACAAGTAACAACATACTTATTGATATTTGATTTACGCTTTTGTGGTTTTGAGTTCGTTTACATACGCAAATATATCTGATGTTTCCAACACAAATACAAAATGTTTGCTAACCACACAAAAGCACAAACTCATACATTGTGAGCTTGTGAAGACTTTTGCTCCTTAAATTGTTGTAGTTACAAAACAAAAAGTTTGATACTTTAAACTTTTAATATTTTTTACTTTGTTTACTTTTCCAAAAAAATTTTTAATGACCAAATTTCTAGAACGGCAAATGAAAAAAATGTTTCCAACCATATGGCGATGCTTAGAATTCTGCTGAAAATTTATTGAGCAATTGCAGCTAAGCTCAAGCCCTAAGCCTTTTCCCGAAAAATAAATTGTATGCCCTTTTTAGCTTATTTTTTTGTTTATTTTTATTTTTCAACTTTCCAAAAATAAAAGGAAAACAGTTTATTGATGTTTGGTTAAATTTTTTTTTTTGTGTTTCTTTGACACATACTTTCGAGAGTTGTAACACTTTCAAAATATTTGGTCGAGTAATGGTTAATACATTGTTTTTGTAATGGATAGCTTTAGTGATCGGTATCACCCGTTATAAGCGTGATTTTTTAGCTTTTTTTTTGGCTTTTTGGCGACACTGGTTCAAACAGCTGTCACACGTTTCATGTTTTGTATCACCGTCCAACATCTTCAGTTTGATCTATAATTTAACCATGAATCGTCTTACAAACGATCAACGCTGGCAAATTATTAAATTTCATTATCAAAATGTGTGCTCTGCTAAGATAGTCGAAGTTTCGAAGCTCATTTTTGGCTTAATGGTGGCGTAAATAAGCGGAATTGTCGATTTTGTAGTGAAAATTAGCCGGAAGCATTGCAAGAGCTACCAATGCATCCAGAAAAAGTCACAGCTTGGTGCAGTTTATGTGCTGGTCGCATCCTTGGACCGTGCTTCTTCAAATACGATGCAAATCGAAACGTAACTGTGAATGGTGAGCGCTATCGTGAGATGATGTAAAACTTTTTTTGCCCAAAAGCTTGACTTGTATGTCATTTGGTTTCAATAAGACCGCGCCGCATGCCACACAGCAGGCGTAACAATGGACTTATTGAGAAGCGAGTTCAGTGAACTATTTATTTCACGTTCGGAAACGGTCAATTGACCGCCTAGATCATGCGATTTAACGCCTTTAGATTATTTTTGGTGGGGCTATGTTAAATCTAATGTCTATATAAATCAGCCCGCTTCAATTGGTCACCTCTGAGGACAACTTGAAGCATTTATTCGTGAGATACCGGCCGAAATGTTGGAAAGAGTATGCTAAAATTGGACTAAGCGGATGGACCATTTGAGGCGCAATACTCAATACTTGCATGAAATAATCTTAAAACTAAATTATATGGATCGCGCTATCGATTCAAATAAAAATTGCATGAATTTCTCTGAATTTTATGTGCTTTTTTTGTAAACTTTCCGGTAGCTTTTAAAAATAATCACTCTTTAGTTATAGAAATCATCAAATCAGACCATCATGCCAGCAATGTTTCGATTTCGAAGGAGCTAAACATTCCACACAAATACACTAGTGTTACTTGAATAAACGAGAAAAAACCTTATCGAATAATCATCTGCTTATTACATTTGCCAATAATGACAAGGACTTCTATGTGATAGGCTCAACGACATAACCTTGAAAATGACAAAAAGTTCTTAAGCTAAATGATGTGTAAAAGACTCGAAGATATCTAAAGAACGTATTGACTATTGATATTTATATCTCATGAGCATTTGACTATGGGAAAATTCCGTTCGAAATCGGAGCTGCATTTTTTTTTTTTGATGGATTTTTAACTAAGATAAGTGGCATTGAAGGAAACATAATTATATCACATCCCTCCGGAATCAAAACGATTGTCATCTGAGCGGACAGCGCCCGACTGGCGAATCTCGTCTAAACTGCCTTAGAGCCCAACAATAGGCTGAAGAAGATATTTTCACAGTGTGTTTGGTGATGCGTGAAGGAATATTTCATCAATAGGGAATATAATATTGCATTATTTAAGCTTTCGAATCCAGCTTGGAAATCCAGCGTAGAATCACTCTTGCCAACAGGTGCTACCTTGGACTGAGTAGACCATTGAAAAGTAAAGTCCACTCTCGAGGAAACAAATTCAGACTTTACAAGCTGCTGATCATTCCCGTTCTCCTGTATGTTGCAAAACCGTGAACGATGTCGACATTCGATGGGGGCGCCCTGCGAGTCTTTAATATTTCATCATTGAATCTTTTCGATGCAGTACCCGTCTTAAGAATTGGAAGAAGAGGAAGATCACCACTTCTTTTTATTTCCAATTGAAGTAATGAAAATGAGTTAAAAATAAATTCTAATTTCGAAAATATTTCTTTAAAGAAAATTTGGCAAGAAAAATTGGTTTTTACGAATTTCATATTATGATAAAAAAAAGAACATCTAAAACAAAATCTTTCAGCCGAAGTAACTCCCGAACAAATTTTATTTAACCAAAAAAAAAATATATGAAGTTGCACCAAGTACAAAAAAACAGAAGATAGGCGATTTTAATACGCTTTTATTTACTATAAAATAATAATATATTTTTATGGAAATATTTTGTTCTCTTTTTATTGGTCACGTAATATTAAAACTTGTCAAAGGAAAGTCCTCAAAATCTTTCACTCTTATGTATACTCGTAAGCACATTAAATTTTTCCCAACTTAAGTTTTAATCGTTAAGCCGAATTGGCCGAGAACGAAGTATGTATCGATTTCCAACAGCCAACTGACTGCAGCTTACCATAGAACTAAAAGCGAGCATTAAAAATATATATAAAATGGAGGAAAGGTACAAATATAAAAACTGAATATTTTTTCTATTCTTTACTTTGTACGATTTTTTTAATACCTACAAATATGTATGTTTACACGTCTACATATAAGCCTGGCACGTTGCATCCGCCGCATCACTTGGACACACTCACCTGATATCTGTCAAATGCAATGGCTGTTATTGAAATCGTCGACACGAAAATGCTCACCGCCTGCAGCATAGCAACCAATTTACACAGCACTTCAATCATACCGAACGGCCAGTATTTCGAAAGTATTTCCAACAATGTTATTGGCATGGTAATAACGCATAAGAGTAAGTCTGAAAAGGTAGCAATGCAAGTGGAAATTAAAATGGCATACTGTGTGAAGAGGAAAAATTACACTGAGCAATGTAAATAAAATATTTAAAATAAAAGAGTGTACACAAGCAAACATCCTTCTATATGAAGGTCATCTATAAGTATATATGAATGCTAAAGTTAACGCACTGCAGTTACGTACATTTGTATACACTCAATGCACTAAAGGAAATTAATACGAAAATAAAATAAACACAAACGCAAAAGCAATACGCAAAATCAAGCAGCACTTGGTGGAAAACTATGTAATTGAGCGTAAACGCGGAAATGCGCTTGCGAATATAAAGTTAAGGAAATAGTATGAAAAGAAGTAGCGACGAAATATGTATAGCTTCCCCAGCCTCACTAGTTTACTTGCTCGCGCACTCATCCCTCACACTTACCCGAAATCGCCAAATTCAATATGAATAAGTTTCGCGCTGTACGCATAATTGGCTTCCCCACAACCGCCATAACAACCAGTATATTGCCCACGGCGCCTAATAAAATCATTGATACATATATGATGATCAATATATAGTGCCATTGATCGGTGATCGCACGATTTCGTGTAAAACGCTCGACTAAACCCTTACTTTGCATACCGAAGAGGCTTGTGTTCGAATCCGGCGTGGCATTACCAAAATTCACTTCAAGATAATCCGTAAGAGATGATGAGTCATCTTGCAGTTCACCAACGGGCGCAAACGAACTGAACATATCCACCACTGGAACGTCAGGTGGCGCGCTTATACTTTGCGCTTGCTCGTTATAAGTCATATTGATTATCTGGAGAGATGAGAAAAAAGTATTAATGCTATTAGTACAAATTATTATGTTTAAGAGACTCATATTAATAAAGATTTAAAAAACTTGAAAAATGTTTTGTGTTTTTTATTGTTTATTATAAATGCTAGCATTAGCAATATTTCATGAAACAAAAGTAAACCAGATGTATACTCGGTGTGTAAGTTAGAAAAATCTTTCTTAAGAGAAATATTTCATTCGTGCTTCTCTTTGCTTTACGTATATTCGCGAGTTAAGCGCAGAAAACTATAACACGTCAGTCGTTTCTTCCTATCGGAGACGGCTGGTGAACTTTCCAACGGATTTGAGGCTTCCTGCCTTGCCTCTGCATCCTTCGTAGCCGCTCTCTTAAAATACTATATCAATGGCAACGTGGATCATATCTCATATATCTCAGCGAGCACACGTTATCGGTATTCGCCACCACTAAAATACAGAGGAGCATATATTTTTAGCAAAATAATCCTCTCGAAGACACCCAAAACCGACTATTCGAATATTGTTAACTTTTACGTTTCTGTACCATAAAGTAGGATGAGAATGACGAGCGACTTTAAAGTTTGTATTTTATCAATTGCCTGGCTGAAAGAAGCACCTGTTGGGCATAGTAATTCCACATTGGTATTCCAGGCTGGCAACACTAATGGTTATGATACTAACTCGTAGATAGATAAAGTTGTTTCCGACTGCAAAGTTATGCCTTTCAACCGGGTGGCAGGAGGCAAGACTTGAGTGCACTGACATTTTGTTCGATGACTGAACCATTTGGCTCGTTTTTTTTTTATCTAGTCCAATGCAAAAAGCAGAAAGAGAAATGTTGCAGTTGTGGAGAATTTGATCGGAAGGCAGCAGCGTTGTACGCTTTCATAGAAGATTATAGCTTCCCTGTTTAGATCTGCAGAAGCACTATAAGGAGTCACCTTGTCTTTAATCTCCTTTGTTACCAAGTCAGTTTCAAAAACGACTTAGGGATAACTTCCTTTCATGCTGTCAAAGGCAGGTTTAAAAATAATGAAGAGGTGAATTTCTCGAACCTTTTTTCAGGCGTATTCTTCATGCTTCGGAAGTATGGTTTCTTTACGATAAATCTCAACGTCGTTCCTTCTTTAACACAGTAAGAATTATACTGAGCGTGATGGGAATTGACTTTCTTCGCCTACCTCAGCTCGGCTTCCGTCGTCCTATTATTTTATTTCTAATTGGCCAATCAACAGTTGTTCAAACTTCATCAAAGTCGTGCATTGCAACCTCTATAGATTGGGGTTTTGGGATGAGCCTCGTCTGGTGATTTAGTTTCAATGCCATTCGACTGGCTAGAGAAATTTCCCTTCGCAAATTCAGTACACCGTGAATATCCATCACCAGTTCTCCTTGGTCGTGAGTATAATCCAGTTCTGAATCCTTCTGTAAGTCCTTGTATATTTTTATTGGATTCTCAGGCATAACTCTCATTAGCTACCTTTTCATACTCTTCTCATTTAAGCATTTCGACCTCTCTTCTTTTCTGTGTGCAAATGCGTTTTATTTCCATCTCTTGGTATTCCACCCACATAGCACGCATTGTGGTCAATCGCAATATACAGTCTTCTTTTCTCCCATACTTTGTTATGTCAGTCCTCATAGTACCAATTCTTTTCCCTTTTCCCCTGTCGAAAATAATGAAAAACTTAATACGTCACAATTCCTTTATACCGTATTTTTGATGTCTCAGAGAGCAGAAGTGAAAGTCAGAAAACCATTTGATTTTGTATGATGTTTCCAGCTACTCGTTATCCAACGTTTCTTTGGCTCGTAGGCGGGCGTTCTTAACTGCATAGTTACATAAACTCAGCAGTGTTTTTGTTCAACCTTTCCACTTTACTTTGCCATCAGTTAGGATTTGCATTTTGTTTCAAAAGCTGCCACTTAATTTTCATATCTCTTCCTTAAAGAGCCCAAAGGCAAATGTATTTTTTAACTCTCTGCTTAAAAGCATGTTCAATCTGATTTCCATTAGTATTTTGACACTTTCGGAAAACCGAATCAGTTGCATAGTCAATAATTTGTTAAGCAAAAGGAAAAAAAATTCGTATAAACATATCGTTGGCATGTATATGCTTGTGTATGTACTTAGAACCCTGAAGGGAAAGTCACTAGTTTTTAACTAGAATCCTTCCATTTGCCATGCAAGCAACTGGTGTTTTTAACACGGTGGTATTCCAAAAATTGTCATATGTCTGACCAAGCATCATCTTTATACTAGTTGTATACCAAATCATTTCAGTACGTTGAATTTCTACTTTACCAAAAAAAAAAAAATAAAAATTAAATAAAAAATAGTTTGCCTCATGCGCTATAACAACAACTCATATGGGCTAAACCAAATTTCAGTCTAAATATAACATATCCAGTGATTCCTTTTGGAGATCTATGAAAAATTATTTATACATACGAGTACATATTATATATGTATTTTCCATTTTCTTGGAACATCTGTCTTCATGTAAGTGAAGTATGTGCTCGTATATTCATATATATGCATATGTATAAACAATATATTGCAACAAAAGCTAAATTTGTATTGCTCTGAAATTATTAAATTTTTAAATGCAAAATTTTTGATTCTCTCTAAAAGTATAAATTTTATTTTTAATTCACATACTAATCAACATGTATTTATTATTTTTTATTTATTTTCCAATACCTTTATTGTTCCCATACATTTCCAAATATTTTAGCTACAAGAAGTAAGGCAAGCAAGCGTAAAATTAAATTTTTGCAACAGCTTGTCTCAGCTGCCAGAGTAAACATTTTCGTTTACATTTATTATTGAATAGTGCAAGCATGCGTAATCTGCGGATTATTTTACTTGTGGCTATGTACATACATTCTTTAATACATGCTTTCAGTATATTTCAATTCATTTTTTTCGTGGTAGGTTGTGTCTCCACGTTTTAAAGGGAAAAAATCATACACAAAAAAGATTTAATATTAAAAAAATATATTTCTACATAAATATGTATGTAGCTATATAAAGAAAATATTTTACGAACAAAACACAAATCTTTTATTTTCATTCAAATGAAAAACAATGCTCTGTATTTTGAATGTAGAAATTACCAATTTAATGCAAAATTTTATATTTAATAATAACAAAAAAATGCTGCGGCTTTTGTTTCACATAATTTTGGAAGTGTAAGTAAAATAAAGTAAAGTAACTTAAAAATCAACAAAGTTTTAACATCATAACTCCCAACTACTAGTTTTAAATCAAAATTTAAAAGTTAAGGCCAAATTATAATAAATAAAAATAAAAATATTCTCATTTTTTTGTAGCAAATTATTAATGTTTAATACAATTACTATTACTTATAAAAATAATTATCATTTCTCTATAATATTTTTGTTTATTTTCTATTTTTATTTATCTCCAATTCGGTCCATAGCGCTTACAAAATATTATAAATTATTTTTTACCTCATTATTTATTTAAGAAAAAATTAACGAAATTTTTTCCATTGACATGCCTTATCTTTAAATTAAAAATGCCATAAAAAATATTTCCAATACAAACACGAAGTTCAATCAGTTTATCTCAACACCTACATTGTCAACTCACAGTGCAGCTCAAAAGCACATGAACACACATACACATGCACACATCTATGTGACTGAATAATTGTAATATGTCACTGTCGAAGCATGTCCCGCTAACATATGTGCATTTGTAAGTATGCGTGTATTTTTTTTTTTTTGTCACACTTTTTGATATCAGGTCAACAAAAGCAAAGTGATTGTCAACAATACACCTACACATGCAATTTAAATATTTAAGAATGTGTGAATACTTAGATATTCAGTGTGCATACATACATATGTTTAAGTAAATAAAGTCATAAATCAATTCATAGGAAATGTGCAAATATTTAAAAGTACAAGAAGATATGAAGCTTACATACGTAGATTTATGGTACATATTACATACATATATTGCATATCCCTTTACAAACATACTACATTGGTATATGCATATATGTTTCCAACCAACGCTGCATCGTAACGATAAATTTCACGTTAACCAAAAAATAGCAATCGACATCAAATCGGTCGAAAGATTTGGAAACGAAATGCTGTCGTGTTAATATTAAATCTTTAACAGATAATGTCAAATCGTTAACAGATAATGTTAAATGTTAAAATTGAAGTGTACTGTTAATATCAAGCAGCCATTTTAAAATTGAAGCTAACATTGAGTTCATGCTGTTTCAATATTAACAATTTGATTTCGTTTCGAAAACTTGGTGTCGTTAAATTTATTTCTCGTATTAAAAAAGTAAATTATATCGTTGAGTATCCACATATGTATCTTCATATGTGGTATCAGTTAGAGTCAGGTTGGCTTTATTAAAAAAAACAACATAAAATGCATCCCTGCTACGTTAAAAAGAAGGTCCTCAATTTGTCGGCGTATAGTATTACTTTTTTTTTGTATGATCTCACAGTGGGATTGGTAAGCGGAGAGGATTAATTGGTTCGCACTTATCTTGATCATGCGTATTTCCAGTGGAATACATTTTCTTTAGTGAATAGGCTATACATAAAATTGAGCAATACAAATCGAAAGCTTTCCTGCGTGAGTGTAAAGATTATACTACAGCGCTAGCTGTGAAAAGAACAGATTATCCCTCATTTCGGTTCCTGGTCGCAAGGGCATAGAGGGAAATTGTAAGGCAAACGAACTCGCCAGGCTAGGCACGACCAAGCAGACTCTTTCCGACAATGAACTCATTGATATAATTTTTGCTAAACGTAACCTACTACCCAGGACTTTACCTAAGGCTTTACCTATGATGTAATCAAGAAAGGTCACGCGGAAAAAATTCAATCCTTAGGGGTGACATCTCCAAAGTTGTAGGAGGACATGGAGCGAAACTTAGTGGCAGCAGAGCTAAGTTCTGTGAACTGTATTTTCGACGATGATATGTTTAAAATAGCAGACATCA